AAAAAAGTAAAAGTAAGTAAGTGTTCGAAGGAGGGATGAAAGGAGAGCTGTGTTAAAGGGGGGGGGGGTGAAAGAAGAGAAAGTGTAAGAAGAAGGAATGAGATGAAAAGGGGAAAGAGAGTCGAGGGTATCAATAGAAGGGACCAACTCTCAATGTACAGAGAGAATACTCTTCTCTTAAGATTTAGCACCTTCTATCTGCTCCACTGTGGGTAGAGGTTTTTTCCCCACAGAAAATAGTGTGACAAGTACAATAGGTTGAAAGGGTAGAAAATAGGACATGCCTGAAGTCACGTAAACTCTTTTCTGATTTTCTTTTATGAGTGTGGGCAATAGGCTTAAAGGTAATAGAGTTCAAGTGTGGGGGGGGATAAGAGGGGGGGAGGAGGATGAAGGGCGAGGGTGTGGAGGGAAGAGGGAGGGGGTAGGGGAGATGACGGGAGGAAGGGAAGGCGGAGGAAGTTGGAGAAGGATGAAGGAGGAGAAAGGGGAATGAATGGGAGGAAGAGGAGGAAGGAGAAGAAGAGGGGAGGAGGAAAGGGGCCATGAGAGGATGAGGAGAAAGAAGGGGAGTGAAGGAGAAGAAGGAGGAGGGAGGGAGAGGAAGGAGGGGGGACGGGCACGGCGGACCTCCAAAACTTCTGTCTATCCACTTGAATCCTTGTCGTCCATGTTTGCTAACCGCCAGTAAATCTGCGGTGTGGAAAGTTTACCTTTGCTCTGAGCCGATTTGACTAACCAGGATTTAGACACCAAGTAAGGACGAGGTGAACTGAGGCTTCAGTTAGTTTACTTGGTCCTTCACTCTTCTGCCATTAAAGAAACTGCCTATTGAGTTGAAATAGTTTGGGAATGCATAGTGTCTTTTCAGCAAGCCTCAAAGCTCAGTCAATTTTCTCATAAGCTGAAAATTATGTTTCAATGAATTTGGAATGCTTTCCACATTCTAAGTTGACCTTAAGGCCCCCAAAATAAAGACACCAGAAGTTACGCCCAGATTTCTCAAAGCGCCCAATTTCTTTGATCCTTGTCAACCTTCAAAAACCTGACCAAAGAATGACTGGGAACATTCAACACCTGTACGTTAATAGCACCAATGTCACTTCCAAATTTCAAGTCCCTCATTTCGGGGCATAGATGGTTGTGTGGATTGCAGCTTCTTTTCGAACAAACATCTA